GTGGAGGGGCTGCTGCTGACCGTGGCTACTTCATCCAGCCCACCGTGTTCGGAGATGTGCAAGACAGCATGACTATCGCCAGGGAGGAAGTTAGTATGGGGCCAGCATTCTGGGGAATGTTCTTAGGAGAAGTGGACAATTAAGTTTGGCGTCTTCATACCATGACCCATCCGCTGGTTTTGGGCCAAATTCTGGCTCTGTGCCTAAGACAAATTATTTACAATTCTATCTGATCTGGTCATTCCCCTCTTTCACCCCTTATGGCTACCCACTGTTGGGGAGAACTTCCAAATTCCCTTGCACAGTTTCCAGGGCCTTTGTGTTGTGGTCCCTGCGAGCCATGAGTCAAGGAATGGTTTTGCTCAGCCCTTTTATGATCTTCATATAAGCAGGACACTGGACTAGACCAAAGGGCTGTGACTTCCCCACATGGCAAGGCTCCCGATGTTCTCCCTCTCAGCACTCATTATGAATGCAGGACAGCAGCTCTGGCTCACTCATTCATTCATTTCACAAACACTTACTGAATGCCTGCTATGTGCCAGGCTCTCTAGAGACCCTGGAGATCCAGAGGTATGCAAGATGTGTTCCCTGCCCTCATGGGGTCCACACACGCTCCCCTTCCCCAGTGGATTAGTCCTTTAGCAGCCTCATGCACAGAAAATATTTCCTGTTCATGTATAATTCAAAATAAAATAATATGAAAATGCAAAATCAGGGGAACAAAGTCCAACAGAGTTCTGCCTCTTTCCCCATCATGACTACTTTGATGCTTTTTTTGAAATCTCAAATATCGCTTTTCCAGAGGGGTGGGGGGTGCCTCTACTCTGCCAGTGCCCGAAGCACATGACGCCCCATCCCACAGTCCTGCTCTAACCATGATGAGTCCTGGCACTCTTCTCCCGCCTCTGCCTCGACACTCCCCAGGCAGTCCTGGAACCAGCCATTTCTTTAAGAAGTCCTGCTCCCTTTTAGGGGAAAGTGGGATTTCATGAGGATAGGTGCTGGGTGTGTTTATGCCTGGAACTCCGTTTCCCTCCTCCCTGCTCCCCACCTGCACTCTGGCTTGGCCAGTATCACAGCTTGGCTGTCACTTCTGCAAAGCCTCACCCCTCCTCTCCACTCATCGGTCCAGGAGCTCCCGTGGGCTCTCAGCACTCATTACACAGCTTGTATTGGTTCCTTCTAACGCCCTGATTACATCAGCACCACCTACACTGCATTCCCCCCAGGGCTCTGCCTTGATGGGGCTGAGAGCGGCCACACCCCGACAGCATCTGCACATCTGGCCCCTGTGACTTGGCTTTTGAATCTCATTCTCCACTAAAAAGAACCAGGATTCCTTGAAGAAATGGCTCATGCCAGGAATAGGACAGGGAAAGTACCAAATAAACCTGGATGTCTTGAGAGCAGAGACCCTGTTTCATTCAGTTACTTCTTCAGCTTTTAGTGTGTGCCTTGCTGAAAAAACTGATGTAAATTCTTTGAAACAATCTACGTGTAACATGCCAGAAACCCCTACCTTGCAGGATTGTTCAGAAATAAGATCAGTGGTGTAAAGCACGTGGCCTATAGAATGTAACTGATCCCCATTAGCTTCCTTCCCTTTGTGTTTCATTGAACTTGGGAGCTGTTGTCTCCCTGTGGAACTCTTAGGGTATGTCTGGGGGCTCGATCTGGAATGATCTGCTCTGCACTGTGAAAGCTGGATGGCAGGTGGTTTCTGTGTATGCTACACCCTCCCAACTGTGCACTCTCTTACCTCAGATCTTTGGGCCAGTGATGCAGATCCTGAAGTTCAAGACCATAGAGGAAGTCATTGGGAGAGCCAACAATTCCAAATATGGGCTGGCTGCAGCTGT